CTTCCAACCCTTTGCCACGGGCAGGGACATCTTCAACCAGACCAGGTTGCTCAAAGCCTGGTGGGAGGTGTCCCTGCCCAGGGCAGGGGGTTGGAACTGGATGGTCTTTGAGGGCCCTTCCAACTCCAACCATTCCCTGACGATGGTGTGTTTCAGGGTGTGTGTGACACTTGTGGGCCTCTGGCCTTCCTGTCCCCATGTCCTCTCAGACAGGCTGGAGCCCTTTGGACACGGGGATGGGTGATGAGTTGACCCAACGTGACTTCTCATCTCTTTGGGAAGGGCCACAAGCCACAATGGATCTCGGGGACAGCAACTCCTGGACACTGCCACCGCTGCCCTGGTGGCAGGGGACAATGGCTTGTCCCCATGTCCAACCTGCAGCACGGCTATGGCCAAAACCAACGCCAAGATGCCTCCATGTCTTTGTGGTGGCCAAACAGCCAAGATGCCCTCATGGTGACCAAGCAGCAACCAGCCAAGATGCCTTTGTGGTGGCCAAGCAGCGACCAGCCAAGATGCCACCGGGGTGGCCAAGCAGTGACCAGCCAAGATGCCTTCATGGTGGCCAAGCAACGACCAGATGCCTTTGTGGTGGCCAAGCAGTGACCAACCAAGATGCCTTCATGGTGGCCAAACAACGACCAACCAAGATGCCTTCATGGTGACCAAGCAACGACCAGCCAAGGTGCCTTCATGGTGACCAAGCAACGACCAGCCAAGGTGCCTTCATGGTGGCCAAGCAGTGCCCACCCCAGAGCGGAGAAGAGCACGATGGGTGATTCCTGGGCCTTCATCCCATCCTCTTCCCCAAGGGATGACAAACATGAAGCCTCCAACCATAGAAAAGGCACCAGGTGACAGAGCGTTTGTTTTATATATATTTGTATGTATATATATAGAGAGATATTTATATATATATAGATAGAAGTGGGTTCTTCTTCTCTCATGTAAAAATTCAAAATACAGTTTTTACTATTAACAATCCGAAGTGTAAATGTACAAATTTTTACTGCTAAAGCAAAAGGAAAACAAACCCAAAGGAACAAATAAAAAGAAACACACAGAGCAAGAGGAAATTAAAAAAAAAAAAAAAAAAAAAAGAGAAAGGGGGGCGGGGGCCCGG